TGCGCTCTAAAGCCCGCAAGCCACAACTACTGAGCCCACGTGCCACAACTACTGAAGCCCGCGCGCCTAGAACCCGCGTGCCTAGAGCCCGCGCACCACAATGAAGACTAGCCCCTGCTCCCTGCAACAAGAGTAAGCCTGCACACAGCAACGAAGACCCAACGCAGAAAAAAATAAAATAAAAATAAAGACCATCAAGTGAAAGAGGATTCAGTTTATCCTCTGTGGCTCCATGGAACATAGCTAGCATCACTGCTACTAGCGAGTTTCAGCTTAAAACGAGAAGGGTTTAATTGTTGGGTCTGTGATATCCACAACAGAGCAGGCTGCCTCATAATATAGTGAGTTCACTGTCGCTGGATGTGTGCACACAAAACTGGATGAACTCTCAGTATATTGTGTTGGGGGATCCTGCTGTGTGGGGGTGAAGGAAGAGTTGGTGTCCTTCCAACTTCTCTCCAATTCTTAAATCTGATCAAGTCCATAGGACAGGTTGGGAAGGGCAGGAAACTGGAGGTGGGGAGACCAGAGGAATTGCAAATTGTGAGTTATTAAAAAAAAAAAAAGGAATGGAAGATTGCATTATTCTGAATTCTTCACCACTCCCTGTACCCAATCCTTTTGCCATGTGACTTTGAAGTCCCTCCCACTAGAGACAGAATACACTTTCTTGTCCTGCTAATGTTGGGTTGGCCAAGTGATTTGCTTTGGCTTACGGAGTGTGAGTAGAAGTGACCACTCCAAGCATAGTCTCTAAGAGGCAATGGATTTTTTGCTCACCCATCTTGTGCTTTTGCCATTACCATGTGAAAAACATGCCCTTGGTAGGTATCACAGAATAGAGACACATGGAGTAGACTCATCTAGCCAACTTACAGACCTATAGCCTTAAGCAGAGCTGCCCCAGCTAACACATGGACACATGAGAGAGAAATAAATGCTTTATTGTTGTATAGCACTTAGATTTGGTGGTTATTTGCTATGTAGCATCATTATGGCAATAAGACAGATCGGACATTCCAACAGACTTTCAGATACAGTATTGAAGGCAGTTCTCAGGCTTCTGCTGGCCTTTCTAGGATCTGAGGAAGTAGCACTTGAGGGAAGGAACTCATCCCAACAGATTGTGGGTATATCCTGTCCTGAGTATAGATGTTGCTGGGAATGGATAGCCAAGGTCACTTTGTGGGGCACAGACCCAGTGCTGGAGGCACTTTGTGGGTTTGGGGTAAAGAGTGAGAGGAGGAAGCCAACCTCACTTCGGGTCATGGGAAGAAGTCCAGCTGGACACTCAAAAGAAAGTGTGGATGGGAGTACCATCCTGAGAAACAGTTTGTGTTGTGGTAGATTAAAGATGACCACAAATTCTTTACCACATCTCTCATCAAGAGGTGAAGTCTATTTCCCCTCCTCTTGTATCTGGGCTGGCTCTGTGACTTGTTCTGACTGATAGAATGTGGCATATGTGTCACTGAATAACTTCCAAGACTTGACCTTAACAGATCTTCCACTCCCTCCTATGCATTTGGAATATGCCTTCTTAGAGTCTAGCTGCCATGCTGTTAGGAACCCCAAGCAGTCATGTGGAGAGGTCCACATGGAGGAAAACTGAGACCTTTGGCTAAGGGTTCCAGCTAAACACCCAGACAGCAACCAGCACTAACTTTTAGCCATGTGAATGAGGCCATCTATACCTTCCAGACATTCTATTACCCCAGCCAACACTATATGAAGCAGAAAACCACCTAGTTTTTCTAAGAAACCCCAATCAAGGTTTTTGACTGCAAAAACAGCTTACTCGTGTTTCCCTGGTGGCGCAGTGGTTGAGAGTCCGCCTGCCGATGCAGGGGACACGGGTTTGTGCCCCGGTCCGGGAGGATCCCACATGCCGCCGAGTGGCTGGGCCCGTGAGCCATGGCCACTGAGCCGGCACGTCCGGGGCCTGTGCTCCGCAACGGGAGAGGTCACAGCAGTGAGAGGCCCGCGTACCGCAAAAAAACCCCCAAAAAACAAAAAACAGCTTACTCAAAGTAAACTAAAACCTAGAGAAAAGATTAATTCTAGGGCACTCCCAGTAAAGTTTGGATAAAGTCAAGAATGTGACTGTGACTCTTTACGATCTCATAGATTTCAAGCAGTGTCTTATAGACCTCTCAGCTAGACAAAAGTGCTTCTAAGAATCTTAAGGATTTGTCCCATAGTACCCCGACTCACAGCCTAAAGAAGGGAGGAACTTATCTTAAGATTTGGGGATATAGTTTTTGTCTAATGGAGTGAAACTCAATAAGGTTCATGGGAAATGCACAATATTTTTGTTTATTTTCTTCCCCTCCAAGGGAATTGTACCAGCATAAGTACCACTAGCTTGGACTAAAATAGGCAAAGACAGTTCAAATGAAATGAGGACACTGGGCACTTAGCGAAGCAGACTGAACAAATTACTCTGCTGCAAACAAGGGAAAGGAGCAATGACCCAGAGGATGGAGCCAAGAGCCCAGAGGGTGAAGAGCCACAGAGAATCACATTCCCTGCTCCTGGAGCAGGGGGAATTGGTGACATTTGCACTATTGGATCTCAGATTTCCTAAAGACCTAAGGACCGCTATGTACCTTTTATTACCCCTTTTTAAGTGGGAGTTTCTATTATGATTTTCCTGTCTCTGTCTTCCCATTGTATGTTGGCTCTGTACGGGAAAAGATAACTTACAGGAAAGTTGCAAGTTTAGTACAAATACTTTTTTGGATTCTTTGAGAGTAAATTTCTGACATGATGCCACATTAGCCAAAACCTTACGTGCATATTTCCAACATAACCACAATCATCAAAATAAATAAACATTATATGTTACTATCATCTTTTTTTGTGTGTGTGATGGCCCAACAGGGCAAATACTTTTATTTTTTTTTAATTAATTTTTATTGGAGTATCGTTGCTGTACAATGTTGTGTTAGTTTCTAATGCACAGCAAAGTGAATCAGCTATATGTATACATATATTCCCTCTTTTTTGGATTCCCTTCCCATTTAGGTCACCACAGAACACTGAGTAGAGTTCTCTGAGCTATACAGTAGTTTCTCATTAATTATCTATTTTACACATAGTGTCAATAGTGTGTATACGTCAATCCCAATCTCCCAATTCGTCCCATCCACCCGCTTCCTCCCTTGGTGTCATTTGTTCTCTACATCTGTTTCTCTATTTGTTTTGCAATGCAAATCATTTATTTTATACCATTTTTTTTTACTCATATGTTTTTAAATATTTGATTTTTTTCTTTTTTTTTTTTTCTCGGTACGCGGGCCTCTCACTGCTGTGGCCTCTCCCATTGCGGAGCACAGGCTCAGGACGCGCAAGCTCAGCGGCCATGGCTCACGGGCCCAGCCGCTCCGCAGCATGTGGGATCTTCCCGAACTGGGGCACGAACCCGTGTCCCCTGCATCGGCAGGCGGACTCTCAACCACTGCGCCACCAGGGAAGCCCTCTCTTTCTTTCTTTTATATGTAACTCTTTTTTTATTCTTTCATTTTTAAATGGCAGTGAATTGCTTTCTTTTTTCTGTTCCTTTTATAATTTTTTTAAATTGGGATATAGTTGTTTTACAATGTTGTGTTAGTTTCTACTGTACAGCGAAGTGGAGTTCCCTGTGCTATACAGCAGGTTCTTATTAGTTATCTGTTTTATACATATTAGTGTATCTATGTCCATCCCAATCTCCCAATTCATCCCAGCCTCCCCTTCCCCCATTGGTGTCCATACACTTGTTCTCTACATCTGTGTCTCTATTTCTGCCTTGCAAACCGGTTCATCTGTACCATTTTTCTAGATTCCACATTGTTTTTCTCTTTCTGACTTACTTCATTCTGTATGACAGTCTAGGCATAGACTGTTGGGGCCAGCTTCACCCTCACCAGTTCCCTGGTGAACGACTCTTGAATTTGTGTTCTAACTACAATAGTTCTTCCCCTCTTCCCTTCCCACATTATCAAGATGATCATAAGCATTCATTAACAGGTATTTTAACAAATATCTATTCAGTGCCAACTACGTGTCCGGTTCATTTCTAGGAGCTGAGGATATAGTAGTGAACAAGAGAGAAAGTTCTTGCACTCATGCAGCTGATCTTCTATTGAGACAGAGAGACAACAAACAATAAATTAAATGTATAATTCTGGGTAGTGATACCTACTCTGAAAAAAATCAAGCAGGTTAAGCAGCTTTGGTTGGGGGACTATTCTACATAGTGTAGTCTGAGAAGACCCCTCTCATAAGGTGACATTTGAGAGATCTGAATGAAGTATGGGGCTAAGTATTTCATAAGTTTCAGGCTAAGTGAACAGCAAGTAAAAAGGTCCTGAGGCAGGAAGTAACAGGGCAAGTTCAAGGAATAGCAGCAGTTAGGTCAGTGTGGCTAAAGTACATAGAGCGTGGTAGAGGGTGATAGGAGAAGAGGGTGGGGAATAGAGATAGAAACCAGATTAGACAGGGCTTCTACAAAGTTGGAGTTCGTTCTCAATAAAATGGCATGAATTGATTTATGCTTACAAAGATCTCCCTAGCTGCTGTTTGGAGAATAGACTGGGGAGGGGGCATGGTGGAGGTAGAAGCAGGGTGACCAAGTAGGAGGCTACCTTATAACCCAGGTCAACATGATGGTGGCTTGGTCCAGGACAGTTTGAGCAGAGTTAGCTAGTGGTTAATTCTGATAATTTGAAGGTAGCACTGACAAGACTTGCTGACGGATTGGAAATGGCATTTAAGAATAAGAAAAGCGCATTGAGGACACCTTTTAGGTTTGGGGCTTGGGGGAAATGGATGAACAACAGTGCCATTCTCTGAGGTAAGTAAGAATGGGAGTGGAGTGTAGGGCGTAGGTGCTGAGTTTGAGATGCCAGTAAGAGGGAGTGGAATATGAGTTGGTTGGTCAGGGCTGGAGATGGAAAATTTTGCAGTCATCAGCATACAGGTATTACTGAATATAAATCACACTCTCTTCTGTGTAGACAGAAAAGAGCATCACGGACTATGGCCTGGGGCCTTCAACAACCAGGAAGGAGAGAAGCCCAGAAAAGAGACAGAGGAGTGGCCAGTGAAATGAGGAAGATCAGAAAAGCCTGATGTCCAGGAAGCCAAGTGAAGAAAGTAGATTCTGTGTGACCACAATCACATGTCAACTCCTGAGCCTCAGTTTTCTCATCCATGAAATGGTGAGAGTAACAACTGCCCACTTCATGGTGTTGTTAGGATTGAGGCAATGTATGTAAAGCAGTTAACACTTGTGTCTGACTGGTATATAGGAAACTCTCAGTCTATGGTAGCATTGTTATTATTTCCTCCACTTCAGAGTAGGCTGCCACAGCCCTCAGCTTCCCCATCCACATAAGTGACTGCACCTCCATGAGTCCTTCTCAGAAATGAGGTGTTCCTGCTCACTCAGGCAACCAGGTGGTCCTGACGAGTGGCCTCTGGGTCAAATTTGAACCAAGTGACTTCAGTGCCTAAACCTCTCACCCACACAGCTTCCAGCCCTTACTTGCAAATCAACAAGTGGTAAATAAAGGTTTTAGAGCCAGAATTCTGCCTCTGCCTCTCACCAGCTGTGGGATCCTAAGCAAGCTTCTTAAACTTCCTGAGCCTTGAATTCTATCTGTAAAATGGGAACAATTCCTACTTCATGACATTGTGTCCAGGCCCGCGCGGACTATAAATAAAGCCGGCTGATCTCCTCCTGCATGGCGGCGTGGGAGTCACTGGGGCTCTTTGACACCCTCCCACGCATCCCCACAACCTAGCTGGGCGGGTCTCTTGGATCCCCTAACCTGCGCTGTAGGACAGTTAGCTCAGAGAGGTGGAGACTCGTTCACTTTCTTTTCCGCAGGGCACCGGATGAGCCGCGCCTAGTTGCTGGGCCCCCACCTCGGTAGAGGGGCCTAGCTCGGCCAAGGGAGGGGGTTCCGAACGTCCCAGAGACTCCCTCTTCCGCTGTCCTACCTCCGGCTGGGCGTCGAAGCCGTTTGCTGGGCAACCCTTCTCCGCCCCTCTTCCTGACCCTCCCCCCAGGTCTACCGAGGTCCACCGTCAGGAAAGCCGCCGCGGCCCCCGACCCCTCAAGACCAGGACCAGTCTGCTGTGTTCTCCCTCCTCTCTGACGCCGCGCTGCAGGCCCAGGCGCATAACCCAGCCCTTCAGCACCGCAGGAAGTGGCGGCTCCTCTCGGGGGCAGCTCGGAGGAAGAGGAGGAGGAGGAGGAGGAGGAAGCGTGGCTTAGTAGGGACCGAAGCCCCATGGGGCAGGCTGCGGAGGAGGGCGGCGTGAGGACCTGAGAGCTCAGCTCCAAGGCTGCGGGCTGCCAACTGCCGCCCCGAACGGCTCCGCCCCTACGGCCCACCCTCCACAGGCCCCGCCCCGCAGCTCGGCCCCGTCCCATACCGGCCCCGCCCCCAGCTCCTGTCCCGAAAACGCGGCTCCTACGGGCGGCCCTGCCCCCGCCCCGCTGGCGGCCTCGGCCTCGGCCCCGCCCCCGTCCGCGCCAGCCCCTAGTCCGCACTTTGCTTGCTGGGCTGCTGAGTCGGCCAGAGTCTGAGTTCCGCCGCCTGCCCGCTGGCGCCGCTCCCTCGCCCCCTCCCCCGATCCCTCCCCCAATCGCAGTAGTCTGGCAGTGTCTGGCCGGAGGCCAGCGGGCGGGCCGCTCTCCCCGCGGTAGCCCACCCCCCCTCTTAAAGCGACGGCGGGAAGATGAGGTTTCGGGAGCCGCTCCTGGGCGGCACCGCCGCGATGCCGGGCGCGTCCCTGCAACGGGCCTGCCGCCTGCTCGTGGCTGTCTGCGCGCTGCATCTTGGCGTCACTCTCGTCTACTACCTGGTCGGCCGCGACCTGAGCCGCTTGCCTCAGCTGGTCGGAGTCCCCACACCGCTGCAGGGCAGCTCTAACGGCGCCGCCGCCATCGGGCAGCCCTCTGGGGAACTCCAGCCCCGAGAGGCCGCACCGCCACCGCCTTCGCGCACCTCTTCCAAGCCGCGCTTGGGTGGCGCCTCCAACCCCGACGCGGACTCTCGCCCCGGCCCCGGCCCCGGCCTCGGGAGCAACTTGACTTCGGCCCCAGTGCCCCCCGCCACAGCACTGTCGCTGCCCGCATGCCCTGAGGAGTCCCCGCTGCTCGGTAAGGTACCATGCACGTTCGCCCATGCCCTCTTCCTCGACAGCCAGTCAGTCTCCCTATTCCGGATCAGAGCCCCTAATCCCAAACAGGTTCCGGGCTGGATGGGGGTGAGAGGTTGGGAGGTGAGTCCCTTCGGATTCATGCTGGAGACTGGGTCGGGGACGGTGTAAGTAAGCCGTAGCCATCGCCACCCACCCACCCCCGATCCCAGAACCGGAGAAGGCCTTGGAGACTTCCCTGCTCTGGCCCAAGCCTCAAGAAGTTTTGGGAGTTTGAGTCTGCTTAGAACTCGGAGCAGCCTTCGCTCTGCTAACTCTGGTAGGGACTACGAGGCAGCTCAGAGTAACCCGCTCTCTCTAGTTTGGAACACTGATGATGAGGCCTCCAGGAGGGAAGGGAGCAGACCTCCCAGGTCGCATCTCCTGTCTTCACATGGAACCACTGTCTCCTGAGTGTGGGTTAACCCTTTTCCTAAGCTTTTGGGCAAGTGACTTGTCCCTAAACCTCTGGTTTTTCATCTATTAAATGGGAATAATAAGTGGTACCTGTTTGAGGAGGGTGTTTTGGAAGATTAGACCAAACAGTGTAAACAAGCATTTACAAGAATGAGGGTAACCCCTCAGTAAATTGTCACTATTGTGTTCAGTTCCTCCTCTGCTTAGATCCCTGCCCTGGGGCCCTCCTACCCTGCTTCCTGCCCTTGTAGCTTCCCAAGAGCAGGGCCCTCCCAGGGGCCGAGGGTATTTGTACCAGTATAATGTGTGTACCCTGGGGGCTGGAGGGCTAAAATATAATCAGTTAGCACCAAGTTGTCCCTTCCTGGTAGCAGCAGCCTGGAGTCTCAGGTATCTTGCCCAGATGTTCTGAACCGGAACTCCAGCCTCTGTTTCAGCACAAGCAGAGAGCTTGGGTCGGTGGGTTTGCATTCCTTATGTCACGAGGAGGCTGAGCCCATGCCCACTGGGGCCTCCCCTTGACCTGTAATCCACAGGCAGTCAGGCCCAAGGCAGCCACAGGTTGCTCCCAAGATTACCAGACAGGTGGCTGCTCAGTTTCAATGCCAGGGTGTAGAGAATGTCGTTCTGAGTGAGGGGCCCTGGCAGGAGAGCAGGCATCCTGCCAGTAGGAACTCTGTCACTTTTTCACAGAGCCCAGACAGAGCAGGCCTCCTACCCACTCTTGCTCAATTTCTCCAATAATTACTTCAATATTTTCATATCAAGTTTGGGAGGATGCTCCTGGAACTGGTCAGACATGAATTGTGGTAATAAAGGGGACTTTTTTTTTTTTAAAGCAGAAACTTGAATTCTTTTGGACTTGATGGTTAGCCTGGGAAGCAGACTGGTCCTGTAAAATGAAATGGAATCTTTGCCATGCTGCTAAGTGTCTGACCTCAGGCATGTTAGAACTCAGACTCTGAGTTCCTCAGAGTCTCTTTCTCTTGTGTAAAATGGGGTTGTCCATGCTTAACTCACAGAGTTATTTTCAGGACTAAATGAGATTGTGTATGTTAAGTACATGGCAAATAGGACCTGGGACTTGAAGTTTCATTTTTCTCAGACTCTGGAGATGGCTGTGAACAGCAGAGAAGGAGGAAGAGGGTTGGTGAGTTCTCAGACCCCAGAGAGGCCAGATTTTGATCTTTTGTTTTTAATTGTTGCCTGGATATTATGTAGAAGGAAAGAGAAATTAATTAGCAAATTAAAGGAAAGTACCCCAAAGTTCATTAGATTGGTGTTTGAGGTGTAGGATCTTCTCAATGAATCATGAGAGGCAGTGGTGGCCCACCTTGGTGTTGCCCAGTGACTGGGTGACGAGTTACTGCTGTTTCTGCGTTGACTCTGAACTGGCGGCACGAACAGACTTCCTGAGAGATACAGTTTTGGAGGGTAAGGGGAGAGGCCCTAGGCTTTCTGTAGCTTGTCCGCCTTTGTGTGACATGCATGGGACCGTGACGTTTCAGCTGCTGCGGAGGTAGCCCCGGAAGGTGAGGGTGGAGTGTTTTTCTTCACTTTTATTGAGCCCTTGGGTTTGAGGTTTGGGTGCTCTCTAAGTGGAGGCTCCTGGGTAGAAGAGAGCCTTGAGAAAGCTGAAAGTCTCCCGGGGAGTGTGTGGGCTGGGGGAGTCAAGCCCATCTGTTCAGCTGGCCAGGTGTCAGCCAAAGCCATTACGTGATGGTTTCGAGGTTGGTGGGAGAAAGCATCCGTGGGGTTTAAAGCTGTGGCTTTTTCACTACTTGCAGTTCCTTTCCACAACTGGGCTGTACTTTCTGGTGTCCAAGGGTCTATGCCAGATGCTATGATCCCTCCGGGCTGGTAGGTGGTGGGTAACGGGCATGCCCTTCCCTGCAGGAGCCAGGCACCAGACTGGGCTGCCGACGGGTCACTGTTGGATCTGTCCTGGGTTGTTAGAGCCTCAGGATAGACTTCAGATAGACTTGGGTTTGAATCCTGCCTGTGTCTACACTGTGCATTAGGGCAGGTTGCAGTGTTTGGAGCCATAGTAGGCTCTGCCCCGGGACACCTGCTGGGCTGATGTGAGGCTTTCAGGAGTGAGGGCTGCAGGGGAAAGGTGGGTCTTTCCTGAGGATTCCTGCAAGTTCCCCAGGGAGTTCTCCCGGGGAGTCCAGGCCTGTAGGCGCTGTTGTCTTGGCCCTTGGGCTGTGCGGCATCTCACTGACCATGGCAGTGAGGCTCCCTTTTCTGGCAGCGTGGGTGTTTGCCTGAGATGTAGTCAGCCTGGGAGGAGCAGCAGCCTTGCATTGAGTTACTTTTCCCGGAATGAATGTTTATCTGTGCTTAGATTTGGCGGCAGCTCCACGTGACTTGACTAGCACTGGCGCTGCCCGCCCAGAGAGGGGCTGGCTGGGGGCGGGGCGGGGTCAGTACCTCAGGTAGGACTGGTTAGGGGAGGCTGGGCTGACCTGGACAGTTGGTACAGTCTATGGGTGGGAGGCGGGCGGTGGTGAGTATAAGACTGCCTAAACCTGAGGCCGCTCTTGCCCAGCTATGCTTTGAAGAGAGCCTCTTCCTTTGTTCAGAAAAGGACTCTGATCTAGAGGTGGGCACCAGAGAGTCATGGGCACTAGAGAGTCATGGGCACCTGGGCCAGCAAACAGCCACAGGTAGCCAGGGCCCTGGGAGAGCACTTATCCGTGAGCCGTTTTCCCCAGGTTTCATGGGGGGTGTCAGCCGAGCCTCTGCCGTGGTTTGTACCCTTGGCAAGACAGAGCACTTGATGGGTGTCTGCCGGGCTCTCGGCTGTCAGGTGTTTCTCCACCAGCACACTGTTCCCGCTTCTCCCCCTTCCCCCATATGCACACATGTGGACACAAGCACGCTGCTTGGGACATAGTGTACTTTGAGGACATCTGTCTTGGCCTCAGCTCCGGAAGGGGCTCTCTATCTTCTTTGGGATGAGTCTTAGAGCCTCATCACCTTCTGGCTTGCGGTGGAGCCTCATCCTGGGGGTTGGGGAGGCACCAGGAGCCTCCCCTGTGTCCAGATCTTTAAGCTTTGGGAGGTTAGGTAACTAGTTTTTTAAACCAGCTTTGTCCTGTTGCTTTTCCTGGGGAAAATAATTTCTTGACCTACACACAGACATGCCTTCTTGTCTAACAGCCTGAGGTGGAGAAATACCCTCCATGACTATTTGGCTCATTTTTTTCCACTCAGCCTGATGGTCGC